GTTTGCAACCCTGTTACTAAAATTTAAAACATGCCTGAATCATGGTTACTGAAACTAAATCGAAAAACTTTAAAGATATAAACATATTTTATTTCATCTAGTCGCCAAGGCAACATTTTTCATTATTAACTTAATGTACTAAAATAAAGAATAAATGAATTATTAATAAACACAAATGAACAAAAAGTATATAGACATTTTATAAAACTAATAAAAATGACAACTAAAATTAAAGTGAAAACAGAAAATGTATATAAAAAAATCTAATTCAAAATATGAACAAAATTAAGTTTAAAAATATCACAAAAAATTAACTCAAAATTCAAAAGACATAAAAGCAAAAATATAATGTTTCAAGTAATAGCATTGCAGATTAAGCCCACAATAAGTAGGCTTGGGACCAAAATTGCTTTGTCATAGTTGATTAACATAGGCCTATATTTCCTATAAATTAAAGAATAAATGTTTTGCATAATATTTTTTTCAGTCTAAAAATTTAGCATTGATGAGCATGGTTGAGTTCAACAAATACAGTAGAAGCTATAATTTGTTTACAAATAAAAAATAAGTTTAACAACTAAATATTTTTTTATCCTTCAAATAAGTTCATAATTAAAATAGTTTTCATGGGGAAGGCACCGTGAATGTATTCATAACTGAGCATTAATAGATTTATTTCCTCACTTTCTTATATATGTAATGTTGTATGAGTAGTTATGGGCAATAATAAGTAATGCTACTAAAAAGTATCACTATAATTGCATTGTTTTAACAAGTCACAAAAACATTATAAAACCTGTTATTTCTTTGGATTGGAGTGGATGGGATAAACATTTTTTTCTCAAATAATTCTTGTTGAGTTTAAGAGGAAGCTCCAGCAGATGGTGCTAAATTAACACGCATAGACTGACACCAACATGCCTGCAGCCTATAAACAAAGATAAATACATTGTACATAATAACAAATACTATTTCTATTAGTCACCTTTTCCATGTTGGTTTAAAGTTGTTAGTGAAAGTATAACTGTGTTATTTTGAGGTTTTACTGACAATGTACACTAATAATTCATTGCCCAACATGAATTTAATAATTTTGGTATTTACAAAGGTATATTATAACAGGATGAAAGAGGTCTTGGGCAGTGATTGCATAGTCTGAACTTAAATTATCAATGTAACCGTCCCTCTATGAGCTACTGAGTCAGAGATCTGAACTCATATTCAAAGGTAATTTTAAAGAAATGGAAAGTATTCAGCTGTTTTGCCATTACGAGGCCTCAACTCCTGGGAACCCGAATATTCACAGTTCTGTGTAAAGGTCTAGATGGCCAAATTTATTTGGATCCGCATGTGCTTACATTTCCCCCTCTTTAATATCACAACAAAATAATGAAAAGTCTAAACACATCTCAACATTAGACAAAATGTTTGTCATTATTTCTGTTACTCTGGCAGAGTCTGCTTCATAGGTCCTTTTTAAAGAAAGAATTTGCTAGGGAATGAGAACACTAAGAAGACACTAAATAATTATGTTCCATACATCACTACAGTCATATTTTCTTAAGCAAAGGCTTTTTTTTTTTATTGTTGATGCTTATGTAAAGCTTAAAGGAATAGTTGGCTGAAAATGTACTCACCCTAAAGCCATCCAAGATGTAGACAAGTTTGTTTCTCCATTGAAATTGATTTCAAGAAATGTATCATTACATCACTTGAATCCAGTGGATCCTCTGCAGTGAATGGGTGCCGTCAGAATGAGAGTTCAAACAACTGATAAAAACATCACAATAATCCACACGACTCCAGTCCATTAATTAACGTCTTGAAAAGCTGCATGTTTGTAAGAAAGAACTCCAACAAATAGAACAGTTTTGGACTGTTTTCACAGTCTTAGAAACTTGATCTGTGCATATTTTTTTCCTGATTCAGAAAACAGTATTATAGACACAGCTTTTTGCTTTATAAGATATTAATTGATGGCCTGGAGCCGTGTGGATAACTTGTGGATTATTGTGATGTTTTTATCAGCTGTTTGGACTCTCATTCTGACGGCACCCATTCACTCCAGAGGATCCAGTGGTGAGCCAGCTGTAATGATGCATTTCTTCAAATCAGTTCTGATGAAGAAACAAACTCATCTACAACTTAGATGGCCTGAGGGTGAGTTTTCAGCAAAATGTCATTTTTGGGTGAACTATTTCTTTAAGCTTAATGCACAAGTTACCAGCAGCCAGACATATTTATGTTTTAATATGAATAGTTCTGTAATATTGTAGCAGCAGTGTTGAGCAAAAACAAAAAAATTTGCAAAAGCTTTAGAACAGAATATTCATGTAAAAAAAAAAAATCCTTTTGTCCCTCAACCTATATGAAATATCCCAGAGTGAAACTAGCAGTGTAATATCAGATTTCAGATTCCTGTCTGAGCTGAATCTCTTCATAATGGCATGGATCAGTCCACTATCTGTGGGAACTATCAGTGCAGGCCTTAATCTAGACTCTGTTCAGTGCATTCTCTACTAATTTTTCCTTCTCAGTCATTTTGGGAAATGCTCCACCATTGAATCTCCATAGAAGGAGAAATCCTGTCTGGGTTTTATTGTAATATACGCATCTGACGCAAGGTGCTTTTTTTTGGAAACATAAAAGCATACGCCAGAATAAAAAGCCATAAATGATGATCAACTACATGTCAGTATTTTCCTTTGTGAAATGTTCCAGTGCAGATGGTCTGGATTTGAGAGAGTAATGTCTTCTGTTCATCTTTCTACATTGTCTGTGATTACTGCGAAATAAAACTTGCTACTCATATTTTATGAGAATGCATTAATTCAGACATCCTAAAATCCTGTGTGGTTTGACAGACCTCAAAATACACAGATTAAATTGTGTTCTTATCTGTCTGGCTAGCGTCTGGTTTGCATTTGAATAAAATGCATTCTCAAACATCACATTTGGGATGGTTTCATCAAAAGCTCATTATATGGTAGGATGATTTATAATGTGTCACATTAGCCCTAGGACAACCAGAAGAGGTCACTGTCATGTCAAAGCCCAGCCAGATATCTCCAGAATAACTACAAAGTCAGTAATGAGCAAATTCTCACATTAATTGCATGCATTTTTGAACATGATCCTCAAATAAACTCTCTCTTTATAAAGGCTCTTTATTGCCAACTGTGGGTTCATGAAGAACCTTTAACAATCCGTGGACACTTTCCATTCCACAAATGGCTCATTATAATGGAAAAATGTTCTTTAGATTTTTAAAATGATCTTTACAATAATGAAAAATTGAGATTTTGTGAGAACTGTTCCTTGAAAGGTTCTTTGGGGAACCAAAAATGGTTCTTCTCACTGTTAAAACCCTATTTGGAAACGTTATTTTTAAGAGTGTAAAGGTATATAACAGTCAGGACATATCTTTTTCATAGATTACCTTGTTTCTGTTTGATACTCTCTTCATCCAATCAGCTCAGACAGTGGAAACAGTCAAAGGGTCAATGGCTGCATGCTCTCTGATTTCCATATTTCCATATCTGTCACCAAACTCCATCACATGATGTTCATACATTACCTGACCAAGAACAAACACAATGCTTATGAATGAGGTGATTTCCTGGAACTGCGCTTCAGTGCTGAGAAAGTTGATTTATTAAGCTGCTGTTTAGCTCAACTGACCCGTTACACACACTGACGCTATCTTGGTCGTCATTTATTGGGCAGGTCTTTCAAATACAGATTTGCTGTTTTTAATTAATCAGTTATATAAATGATTAATCATAAAATCCATCAGGTCCAAATTAATGGTCCATCAGTGTTCAATTCATTCACTGTAAAATGATTTTTTTAATAAAACAAAAATTTATTATAGTGTTTTGAAAGAAATAACAGCTTCAGTCTTTGTACAGTACTGCAAAATTCCACATTTAATTCAGTGTGTTACTAGCTGTTCTTTGTAATTATTTGCAAAAATATTTACAAATGACTGAAATCATACATTTTTCAGTGTAGTTTAAAAAGTGAAACTAGAAAAGCACAAAAATGAATTCAAAATGTAATGTGTCTAGCAACCTTTTTACACTTTATAGAAAGGATTTGTACACTTTTTTTTTGTGAATGTGGTCACAGAATTTATCAAATCTATGAACAACATACCTAGTGGTTTGGCATTTATAGATGAAAGCAAAATATTCACAGGTTTACCCACAAGACTTACTCTTTAAGAAGGCCAAAGTTAGTTTATTTTCTCAAGTTAATGCTGAGCTAACTAGCAAATAATTTGATGCACAATTGTTTGGAGTCCAAAATAATAAATAAAAAAGTGGAAAGATATATTTCACTGCCTGTTAGACTCCAACCCTGTTGAAAAAACCAGCATATGCTGTTTTTTTCAACAGGGAAATAAGACTAAACACTTATTTTCATGCTTGTTATTCGATTGTTCTTCTCTTCAAATGAACTGCACTTTTTCACACCCACCCAACCAAAGAAGTAAAAGATATCAAAATGTTGTTTGTGTAAGAGTGGTTTTGTATGTTGGTTTTAGATTAAAAATATCTTTATGAATTCTGTCCTCTTGTTATTTTTCATAAAAGTCAAGTTGAGGCAAGCCGTCACGTGTTTTGGTGTACGTTTATTAAATACAATATGTACTGGCCAAAATTATGATTTGATATTTTTGTATTTAGCCGTTTCATGATTTATTTTATTATACACAGTTATTTTACTGTTTAAATGCTGCTGATAAGCCATTAAAGGCTGTTTAAAGGCAGGTTCGATAGGGACTACTTGAATTGGGGCATGTTGTCTATAAAGGTCGCCATGTGTTCAGTGACCTCTATGTTTTTTTCCTGATCAGTGGAAATGTTCCATCACTTTTGTGTAGCCAATGATTTAAAGCATGTGTCTATACAGAGACCGACGTTCAAAACTAAACCTACTCTGAGAAATATTTACTGGAGTAAAAAGTGTGACAACTAGCCCTATTTAGCCCATATTTGAGTGACCTCAAAGCAGATAAACACTCAAAGTGTTTGAAATTGATGCCAGTTAAGCATCTGTCCAAGTGCTGGCAGTGTAATAGGCCTATGTGTGCATAAGGCTCATCTGACGATCTAAAGGAGGAGGAACAGTATCATCAGCCTCCCCTCAGCGGACGCTCACGCGCTCAGCCCTCCTGCGCAGCGCACATGGATTCTACGCGCTCAGAAGTGTTTTCACCGGGCATCTTGGCACAAGTGGCTTGTTTTCTTCTGCCTTGAAGGATGACTTCCCGCTCTTAATGCTGAGGACTGCTCGGAACTTACGCTAAAGAGAGATATTATTCATGAAACCAGCAAGAAATGAAGATGAACCTCGTGAATTGTTTGACTCTTCTCTTAGTTTGGCACGCACACGCGGTAAGAAGTCTACTTTACCTGAACCGGTCCTGTACTTTTGATTTACTCAGCCTCAGGTGTGTGGCTCTCAGCTGTCAATATGGGCGAAGTGTTGCCATGAGGGCCGTATTTCAGTAAATATGAAATTTGAGTGAAAAGTCCAAATACAACATATCGAGTTTTCGCTAATTTTGGTTTTGTATATTGGTTTCAAAACCATTACAATGTGTTTGAATGATGTCCTCGAAACTATTATATTTTAACCACAGCTCTTAGATGAATAAGCTAACACAGTAAAACCACGCTAGCATGTTTCAACTATATAATGTAGATTTACTAAGGGTTTGAATTATCATAAAGGTCACGTCAAATTGTCACGTATTTTATGTTATATTTATAGTTTTATGCAAATGTTCTGCAATACAAATCATGAAAGTCAGCTTTTATCAGCTTACAGTGGTCAAACTGGTTTTGGAATATGATAGTTGGTTTGTTATTGGTACAAGGTGGTTTTGCCAGCCCTGCTAGATCTATCATTAAAATCTGCTATGTGACCAGCCTGGTCTAGCTAGAAATTATGTCAAAACCAGCGATTTTCAGAAGACTAACACATTGGCTACCATTTAGATTTTTGCAAATCATTTTGTGCTTTGTTATTGCTTTACTTTTTAAAAAGTGTATAACAGGCTGTTTAATGTCAGGCTATGCTGTGACAACTTACCCCATTACAGCATCCACAGTTATTGGAGCATGTTGTCACTGAAGGTCAACATGCATTTAGTGAGCTATATCTTTTTTTTCTCTGGGCACTAACAGTGGAAACATTTAATTTTTTTGCTTCAAAGACTATGTGAAGTTATGTGTCTACAAATTATAAACTTTTTTTCTGAGAAATATTAATTGAGTACAAACTGTCAGCAAACCACATTTTCTTCTGCTTTAAGAAAAAAAAAACGATTTTATGTGTAATCTAATGTAGACTACACAAAATTGTTTTTATTTTTTTTCATCGAAAGCAGGCCATTAGGGTTAAAAGTGCAAAATTTCTATTCTAAGTGCATTTGGTTTATTGATCTTCGCTTTGCAACAACCTCTCTGCTTTCATTCC